AAAGTCAGTTCATACAAGTAATAACTAGATGTTTAGCTTTCACTTCAATATGCCTAACCTTCTAATATATTATCATAAACTTACCATATAATGGACCAGGTAATGGGAAAATACTTAATTTTTACATGTTGGTACACTATCAGGAGTTTCACATAAAAGAACTGTCTATAGACATCAAAAGCATGTTTGTGAGTATTAAATAATTCAAACTTATAAAGACAAACTCAAATCACAAGTTTTATAGGTAACTTTTCAGCTTCTATCAGGTCTGCTACTGTCAATGCTTTTAATGGAAAGTAAATGTGTATGAAGCTGGATAAGTCCATTTCCTGAAAGCTCAGTTTCATGAGATCATAGATGGAAATGGTAAATTTAATCTCTGCATAATAGTTAGGGAGGTAAACATTGCTAATAATAATGGATATGGGGCAATCCATTAGCTTTATAGCATAGGGCTTAGGTAATAATGTCAAATTTTTGTTTTCTCATTTAGTAAGTATAATTACAAAACCTTAATAATAATATGCTTATTGTTCCAACAAGTGTCCTCAAAGCCAAATCAGATACCCAACACTTTTAGTGGAATTTTATAATAAAGGTTTCCTATACCACCTTCCTTGCTAAGTGTTGCTGGGTATAGCTAGTGGTCATAGTGCAAATCTGTGAACCTGAGGGTTCATAGTTTGCATCCCATTACAGCAAAAACATGTGCAATTTGGGATGTGAGTGCATTGTAAAAGTGTTAGTCAAATCCAAGTATTTAATTAGAGTAGGGTATGAGTTAGTGGTGGATGCTGTTGACTAGCTGCCTTCCCTCAAGTCTACCAGTTGAAAATTTGGATGACTAGTACTGATAGCTGTTGTGTTACTTTATGTGAAAAATTCTAAAGCATACAATTATGTATGTAGATATACAGTGGTGGAAAAATGTATTGCATTACCCAGTTTTTCACACTTTTGAATCATCAGTTTTGAGGCCCTAACACATGAAGCCGGTCTGCTACAGTGTGTGATGCTACCATGGCCAAGGGTTACAAGTTAATTCCATGGAAGAAAACAGTCATTGATTATTTGATTAAAGAGGACTTTCAACAAGGACGATTGCTAAAAAATTAAATCTAAACAATCCACTGTGAGCTGCTGGGTGCAGAGATATAAGAGAGAACTGGTTGTGAGTCATTGCAGAAGAAAAGGAGTATGAATAAAGGTTTAACAGCAGCTAATAATCATGTTCTGAGATGCATAATCATTGACTGTCATCTACAGATCTCAAAATAGCATGGCAGGAAACTTCAGGGGTCACTGTGTACACTTTCTGTTCAGCTGGTCTCCCAGCAAGACAGCCAAGAAAGAAACCCCTCCTTACAAACAAGATTAGGCTTAATTGGGCCATAGAGCTTGCTGATTGGACTGAAGCAATGTGGAGCAAAGTGATCTCAGATTAATCAGAGTTCAACCTGCACAGGTCTAATGGGAAGTACTTTGTACAATATCAATATGGATAAGAGTTTCATCTAGCAATTTTAAGTGCATCTGTGAAGCATCCTCAGGATCAGGTGATATGGGGATACATCTCTGGCCAAGATGTTGGATGCCTACATTTTATGAAAGGCACTGTCAGTGTCGACAAGTACATTGAGATCCTTGATTCCTAGTTAAAAACCTACAATTTGGGATCACGTCGGTAAAGCTGACCAGTGCATATTCTGGGATAACTCATGCTCCATGCCATAGGGATAAAAGGTTGATCATATTCATGCACTCTATGCAGTAGATATGAAATAAAAGGAAATTTCACTCTCTCTCGTATTGAAAAGATACCTTGGGTGTTATTTCATTGCTTCAGGTAAAGAACTATCTTTGAAGGGAGTGGATCAAGACATTATGCTGACCAGACAACAATCCAGATATCAACCCTATCTGCTGTAAGACAATGGGTAACAAAGCACCAAGAGAAGAAACTGAGAAGCACCTTGGAACTGCAGGAAGCCTTAATCTGTTTGTGGCATCATGAAGTAACTCTTGCCTACATTCAGTTCCTTGTGTGATCTATGCTACAGTATTGTCAACCAGTTATCAAGGCCAGAAGGTGAACCACTAAATATTCAAGCAATAAACAGGCTCTGTAGTGTTAATTTTAAATCTAGTTTTTTTTACTTGGAGAATATTTTCATATTTGCTAAGTATTTGGTGATCATCTGCTGTAATACGATTGTCATGGTTGGTTTCTTAATAAATATGCATACGTGTATTTGGATGATTGAAATATGTATCAGCTTACGCCACACAATGTATATAACAATTTTACACTAGTTCTGACACCTCCACAATGCACAATCTCACAAACCATTACAGGAGCCAAGAAAAATGTAAAAAAAAAATATGGTAATTCAATAATTTTTCCACCATTGTATATCAAAGCTAAGTAGCAAGGTTACTTCATAATATATACGATATACCTTGTATGTTATAATAGACATGGAAAGTGGAATGCTGTCTTTAAAGTTGTTCTGATATCTGCATGCTTTAAACATTTTTTGCACTTATATATATGTATATGTCCATACTAACCCTACATTAAGGTACATTCAGTCCTGCACGTCCAAAAGTACCATGGTGGCTACAAATCTGGAAAAGTCAGGGAAAATTGTTTCACACCATCCCATCCCGAAATTTGTATCCACACATTAACCATACTGGGTAACTATGCCAATTATAGGTATATTTTAACATAGAAATCTTGGTTAATAACTTTATGCTATTTTATTTGGTAATGATTATCTAATTAATTATATTTGATGATCAGTTAGATAGAATGTATTTATATAAGTAAAATGCAATGTTTTTGTCTCTACTATTAAGTTACAATGCCCTGGTTTGAAGACACGTTTTCCCATTCTACCATAGTCTGAAGAAAGCATGTTTTGAAGTTTTTACCACCTTTATTAGTAGATTACAAGCTAAAGTGTTATTTAGGTAGAATTAAGAGGAAAACATTGAAATGTCTGTGTATCACATACAGGTCTGGAAATTCAGAATGTTATCTGGAGAGGTTGCAGTTCTAGACTGCATTGGCCTGGTACCATATGTACTGTGTGATATAAAAACATTTGTTACGTATTATAAATGATTTATTTAAAGTATATTATTATCTTATTGCATGTGCAATTGTATAATTACATAATTATATGATTTTGGTGTGGGTAGCCACTTTTGCATTGTTATTGTTTCCTTTTTGCTATTAGAAAATTAGGAAAGTGTCTTCAATGACCCTACACAGCTTGATGGAGGAATTGTTTGTTATTCTTTCTTTGTTATGATGGTATTATATTCCTTAATAAGAGCTATACCCCTTTCGGCATTGTAATTTACCACGTTCAAGTGTTGAATTGTCTGTAGTGCCTCCTTGTAGTCCTCTCTGAGCTTCTGTGATTCAGGGTCATAATTGAAACATCCAGATGAATTTCGAGGCACATGAAAAAGCCTGTTGTGTTCTTTGTGATAAAATCTTCAGTTTACATGTCTTCAGGCTTCCTGATGTTCAGCTAGATGCATTTAGGAGGTTCATTCATGGCTTCCTTCTCATTTAGTGTTTTTACCACTGATCCTGCACATCATGGCCAAGTCTGTGAACTGTGGCAGTAAGGATAAACATTGCCTTTCTGTTATTGTCACTGTTTGTTTCTGTCCATAGCTGCTGCTTAGTCAGGAGTGGTGATATTTCTTCTTGCCCTCTTTTTTTTAGGTTTAGAATATAATGATTCTCCAGTTGCTTATTTATCCTCATCACTATTATTGGTAATGTATCCACCAACCTCATCAAAACTGTTGTGGGTGACTCCCAACAACTGACAGTTTCGTTCAAGGTTTGCTGTTCATATTTACCTCACATCTTTTCTCAGTTCTTCATTCCTTTAAGGAAAGAACCTTATCTACCTGAATCATGCACCCATGATGTCCTCTTTCCCTTTGAGCAAGAAAAAAGTATTTGTCTTTTTGGGTCTTAATCGTGGTCAAGGTATCCATATGAGTGATATCAAAAAGTTATTTAGATTATTGACAAACTGCTTCATTAGCTCACAGTTTTACCTTTTCAATTTGTCTTTAATTTTGGCCATTTTTCAAAAAGCTTCTCCACTTTGATAATGGAATGATGTTCTTGACAAATTCCAGTTCCAACCTTTTTACAAAAATAGCTGCAACCTTTGAGCTTTCATGAGCTGTCTTCTATAATGTTTAGTGATGGTAAAAAAAAACACACACAGTAAGTATATATTTGAAAGTAGTTTACTTTTTGTTGCAGTATCCATTTGCAATGGTAAGCTAAGTGTCAACTGAAATGATAAAGAAAAATCTCCTTAAGTGCTTACACACATTCACAGAAATTCTATAAATTACTGTCATGTAATACATAATATTCCAGAAGTAAAAAGTGACGGCATGGATTATTTATATATGGAATGTTTTGAACATTTGAATAAGGTAGAATACTCTGGAATATTCCACAGTAATATGCTACAACATTTCAAAATCATTTAGAATATCGTGAAACATTCTAGAATATGCAGATATAATGTGAGCTACATGTAAACATTTTTGGACTTCGTTATTTCTATATTCAAAGACAGTTTATAACCGAACACAGTAAGATATTACTTTAAGTATAGGTGTATATAGAAATACAGTAAAAAACTTAACTTCAATCCAAAATAAGCATTTCAAATAAACATTAATTTGAAAGCTTTGTTTTATCACGCATATGAATGGTACTTGAACCTTTATAATAACTATTTTGTAGTTAAAATTATTTAAATGTTCATACCATATTCTGTGCTATAGCAGGTAGTGACTATAAATGCAATGCACAGATGGCCCCTATAATCTCTCGTTGCTATGGATGAGGATGCATCTCGGGATGTGTGACGTAGCTCTTAGTATAAAGCAAGCTCTTTGTGATATTTTGTGTATTTAGAGCTTCCACTGAGGGAGACTAGCTGCAGTAGTATAGACTAGGTGGGAACGGGAGGGGGGGACCTTTGACAACACCTTTTGGTGATATATGCACTTTGTAGTAACCTTCTAGATGAAGTGTTTACGGTCGTATAACGTGTAGGAAATGCATCAGCGAACTTAGCCGTCAAAGGGAGGAACTCGACATAGAAGCTGACTAGTATCTGCAATACGTGTGGTGTTGATGAAATTTGTAAGATAAAAAGTTAACTACGTAGAATTTTTAACATAACGTCGCTTTAGTTAGTCGTTCCCCATAGGTTGTAGAGCACGTTCGTTTTTGTGTTGTTGTCATACGCGATTTGGCCTTGGTGGTATACGTTATTGTGGTGTGTACGGTGGACGTTGCTATGGTTCGTACGTGGTTTTTCGAATGTGGCATTTGACTTTTTGTGTATAGGGATACACTTTACAGAATCTATCTCATTGGAGTTTTAAGATAACGCTAGACTAATTGTTATATATCTAATCTAGTTTTGCGTGTGAATTTCAGCGTTAGCTGTTGAATCGTGTATCACGCTACCTTGTAACGTCTTCGTATATTTGTGTAATAAGTACCACTTGCTTTTCTGTGTCTAGCTAGAATCTTGCATGATGAATATTTGTTTGAGAATGTTAAAGAACAACAAGTATAGAAAAAGAGAAATGTAGAAACACCCATTATAACCAACTCACTGATGCATACGTTACTTAAACATGGCCACTTTCCCAAGATCTAGAAGCTCCTGTAATGTTAGTAGTTCTCCCAAGCGTAACCTTGCTTTGACTAACCGGAAACAAGTCCCGTTTAGAAGGTACGAACGTGCAATATTCTTTTTTTTCAGCGTTTATTTGATCACTGTCAAATTAAACTCTTTATTTTTATATCTAATAAACATAATATTATAACAGCTTATGTTTTGTGTTTACTACATACCCTACTTGGATGTTATTTTCCTTGTTGGATTAAAATTTTATATTAATAGTAAGAATAAAGCGAATTGAATGTACTCTGAAGTATAGAATGCGTGTAAGAAGTAATTCAAATTTTCAATTCCGGGCGTGACTGTATTGTTCTAACATTTGATTTTACACCTAGATGTCATCTCTAGCTGTATATCACGCTACGTTATATTGTTGTCGACGTTCATTTGAGTCATTTACAGTGTACAATATTAATGCATCACTTCAGCGTTTGTTTCTGTTGTTTATATTGTTTTGATATGTAAACAATGTTAAATGTTTGAGAATGTTTAGGTAGAAACTGCTTTCTGCTTGAGAGTATTTGTGTGTTTGTATATATATATATATATATACTCGATGACCAACCGATGGTTGTTCTCAGGCCCTATATAACAGTTTGGAATACCTAAATACACACGAAACTAAAAAGCGAGCTTGTTCGTTTACATATATGCAGTTATTTTGTTGGAAGTTTAGTAATATATAAAGTCATATTTTTGTTCTAATTATACTGAACAAGTGTGTATCAAACATTGATAATTATTTCGGTGATGGATAATATGTATTTTGTGCATTAACTATAAGATTACGATACTGAGTCAGATACGTTTGCACACAAAATATTTTGCTGTATGAAATTCGCAATGAAAATAGAGGCTTACTGTAAATTTTACTACGGAACAAAACTGAAATTTATTGTTATTTGTGTGTATTTGGTAAAATATGCATTTCATTATTTTTCGCGTATTGACTTCATAGTTACGATTGAAACGCATACAGTTTTTAAAATTAAATACTGTGGCTTTTACATGGTAATTTTGATTTTTATCTCGTTTTTAACCGAACTACTGTTCCGTTATTGCTGTCGGTATACCGGAAGTTTCCCTACCCGCATGTAGTGTATATGTTTGTTTACAACGAAGATACGCGACCATCAGACTTGATGTGTTGTAAGTGCTCGATTGGCAGCTAGGTAGTAATGAACTTTAAACTGGGTGACGTCACACATTTTTATTGCAGAAAATAAGATATATGTTATTCTAAGTGACCTGTCTACTTGAACCAGTGATTTCTACGCAATATTTGAAGTTTGATTGTATCCAGAGAGAATTAACATGTTCCAATACATTAAGTACTGATAGTGTCGAATATTCGCTAAAGTCTAGTTTTTTGGCAAATGTTTAGAAATATAATACACATGAAGACATTGTATAAAGTAAAATCGTTACGATATGGGGGGGGCAGGTTCGAACACTGATCCCTATGTCACTATCCCGGGGGCCCTAATGATACAAGACAGGTTTGGTGACAAACGGTCCAGTTATAAGCGGACAAACTCACACAGGCTCTTGTTAAATATTGTTTCGATTAGATATTTTGGAATACGTTAACCCTTTTGGTCGGGTTACACGTATATCATCCGTTAAGAAATTTTTGTTGTTAAAAAACATTTTATGATCCGAATTTACTCGTAATTTTTTAACAATGTATTCACACAAACAACTCAGTATTCCTATCATAGTGATCTTCTGAGTAAACCAAGATTGCTTTCTCACTGTTAAATCACAGTTGCACCAAGACTTATAATTTTAAATAAAAACTATAGTCGAGTATCGTGATAAAGAATGCCATAGTTACTATAGTAGTTGTTTTATTAGAATATTGTGATAAAGAATGCCATAGTTACTATAGTAGTTGTTTTATTAGAATATCGTGATAAAGTATGCGATAGTTACTATAGTAGTTGTTTTATTAGAATATCGTGATAAAGAATGCCATAGTTACTCTTTATCACGATATTCTAATAAAACAACTACTATTATGCGATAGTTACTATAGTAGTTGTTTTATTAGAATATCGTGATAAAGAATGCCATAGTTACTATAATAGTTGTTTTATTAGAATATCGTGATAAAGTATGCCATAGTTACTATAGTAGTTGTTTTATTATATGAAACTAAAAATGAAGGAGCATAATTATATGGCACGCGTGTCAGTGGATCAATAAATCTTATTTTGTATGTAATATAGTACTAAAATAAATAGATGTATAGTTTTCAAACACGTGTCTATGGAGGGATTTGATATCAGTGTTTTACATATATGACTGCAATATGTTATAACTGTATTTGGTAGATTTTAAAGAAATGGTGTGATGATGTTTAATAGTAAGTAGTACATGTGTTGCAACCATAATGTAAGTTTGTTCATCTCTTGAAGTGGGTCCATATCACGGGATAGCTCTTAATTTAACTTAAAAAAAAATAAAAATCCCGTTTGTTATAAAGCTAAACTTGGGAAGTAATCTTACACCAAGGATCAACGTTAGCAGGTAATGAATGATAAGTGCAAGAGACTAAGACGTGTTCTTTTCCTGAATGAATTGTTAACATAATGCCTCGTCAGAAGCTATTACAGGACGTGGAACTACTTCAAGAAAACGGTAATATGCCTGCTTTATTGGTGGGGAAATCCGTCTTCAAGCACGCAGTGTTCACTTTCTGACATTTTAATGTCTATGAAACCTGAGCATGATGTTTTCCCAGTGTGTATTTGAACAAATATATATATATAGCTAAAAGTTCGAATAATATTTGTAAAAAAAGTTGAAATGATATTAGTACTTAACAAATTTCAAAATACAAACTACAACTTAAACGTTGGAGAAATTATGTTTTTAATAATTGCCAGTTCAGTATTGTATGCCCGTGATAGGTAATAAATTTTATACGTTTCGTATACATAATGGCTTCACGATGGCTCAGCGGTAACCTAAGGGCTTATAACGATCAAAATCGGGTTTTGGTAGCTCATTGTGTAGTTTTGTGCTTAAAAACAAATAAAACACTATAGAGAACCATATAAGTTTATTAACATCTTAGTAATCAAAAATAATAGTTTGTACTGTATCCAACAAAGTACTTGGAACATGTATTTTTCTGTATACTCGCGAGGAAATTACAAAATATTATGTATATAAAGTAGAGAAAGCTACATTTGCTGTTATGTTAAACTTATATTAAAGTTTTTCTTCATTATCCATTCAAGCCGTTTCCAACCATTATCCAAGTATTTGTTCTTAATTTTTTCTTCATCTATTGAGAGATAACTGAACTTCCAAGTATTTTTTCTCCATCTATTGAGAGATAACTGAACTTCCAAGTATTTTTTCTTAATTTTTTCTTCATCCATTGAGAGATAACTGAACATCCAAGTATTTTTTTCATAATTTTTCTCCATCTATTGAGAGATAACTGAACATCCAAGTATTTTTTCTTAATTTTTTTCTCCATCTGTTACTATGTCCTTAGACTTACGTAGCAACAGTGTTTTGTGTACTATGTACAGTGGTATTGTGCTTAATTTTATAGTGTCGGAACTATGACAAAATTTCTCTCACTCGTGATAGCACCATGAGATTTTATTTAATTTTGTTCAAAATCTCATTTCCACTTCTGCAGTTAAAGTGGCATAGCGTTACTCCGATCATTCCGACAGTATAACATTGCTGACATTTATATCTACCTATCCCCCCCCCCCCCAGACTTCTAGTTATCTTTTTGTTTGTGTTCATGATATACTACTGGGGGAGGGGTATTTTTTCCCTTTTTACGAACAACTCTTTCATTCCATACTGTTGTAGCGAGTGGTTGATATTTGCACTTTTATCACCTACCAATTTGTTTCATGTTGTTGTTTTTTAATTATCTCTCCTTAACAGTATATTATACGTTAAAGCTGAATGAATTAATATAATTGAATATTATAGTTTTTGCTGCATTCGACTGCGTATGTTATCAGCTCTAATTCCAGTTAAATCCAATTTTAAACTTTTTTTTTTTTGTCAAAGCGAAATCTATTCGTTTTTCTGAGGCTAATTCACGTGCCTTGTAATTCATTTTGGGCATAAAGCAAATATATTCTCGTAGAAGCATAAAATATTTGAAAGCGTACAATGCTATAGATTATTTTGGTCAATTTATTTCGCTTTGTTTAGAGCTGTATTTTCGATAGTACGAGAACTAATAGAACCATTTCTACACCTTTATTGAATATAATGTTTGTTTGTCGAAATTGTGTTTAAGTTATAAAGCAGGATTGTGGAGTTTAAATATTGACTAATTTATTAAGGACGAACAAAGAATCACGTGTATCAACTGATTTCAAGCCAGAATCTTAAAATGTAATATATCCACCTTAGGTATTTTAATATTATACGATTTGTACTTATAAATAAAAGTTTAGAGACTGACTTTTTGTTGTCGTAAAGCTCAAACTAGTCAGAGGCAATGTTCCCTCTAATCATTCTTTGTTGTATTGGGCGGACTATAAACTCTTGGGTACTACTTTTATGTCCAAAGCATTTTTTTGAGCGGGTTTTGGCGTCTGCAACCCTGATTTACGTTTGGACAACTAAGTTTTGAGGGGGCCTGTTCTTATCGATGTGTGATACCTGCCAGATTTCTGCGCGGGTGGCGCATGTGCCTAACATTGAGGGAACACTGGCTAGGGGTAAACGTTCTTTAAAAAACAATGAATAAATTTTTCCCCGTACCCTCAGTAAAGGCTTATCACATTTTCCCCTAATTTTTCACCGTGTCTGACCGATTTACAACAGCGCTATCGCGCGCAGCTTCAGCCACAAACCCAGTTGTCAATATCAGTGTGTGAGAGGCTGAAATAAACAACCCCGTGTACTGGAAGCTAAATTCTCATCCGACTCACGATTATAACGAAATTTATTTCCTAACTTTGGAAGGTTGTTGCTTCCTAACATTTCGTATTTTTGTTGTCGTTTTAATCTCGGTTTCAAGTTTAATCTGTAAGAAAGAACAAACAAACAACTACGCA